TATCCTGCATACAGGAGACAGCGCAGAAGTTGCACGCACAAACCATTGCGAACGCAGTATTGCAACAAGGGTGGCAGTTAATTCGTTTGGCTCCCTTGTGTATCATCTTCCTGTTCGACCATGCGCTCCTTGATTCTAGTACCCGTTTGACTGAGATTGTCGTTGCCTGACGCGAGGCACCGGGTGCGCGCGGTAGCGATGGCGGCAAGCGGAAGCAGCGAAATCGAGAAATCGAATTCGGTGAATATGTTTGACAATTCTTGTCGTCCGTTTTTTTTTTGGGGGGGAAAACGAAAACATGTGTATATATATATATATATACACATATCTATATCAGTACAAACGTTAAGATTCGGTTTGGAACCTGTTGTTCTCGAATTAGGAACGTAGCCGAATATTCCGCTGTCAACATTATTAATCTTTCTCTATACACTGAAGATCGCCGGATTTCCAGTAAGTGTTGCTAGTTTTCAAGATCCGGAGCGTCAGGCCCACAGCTTCCTCACAGCAGCAATGGCACGAAGTCCAGGCTTGGGGACCCCAGCTGAAGGAAGTTTTTGGCTAATGTGAGAAGATCATGTTCCACGTGCCGAAGTACCAGTTACGAATTGTTAGGTCGGCATTCGTTAAAAAGTTTGAATCTTCATTCAGCCCATGGAAACTTCGAAATCACCCAGCAACTATTAATCGATAGTTGATTGATCGTGATTGGTAAATCCTAATTATTCGAACATATGTGATGATATTTCAGATATTTCATAGCCGTTTCCAGCAACAATGATAGACAGAACATGGTATGTGATTCGGTTCTGTGGTTGCCAGGGAACATTGTCAAAGTATGTATACGTGGGTCGTTTGTTTTCACGCGTGACAGATTTTGAGCCAAGAATACGCACATATATGCATAACGACTCAGGTGTTGCTACTGCGATCGCTTCTGAGTAGCACGCATGTTTCACATTATGTATTGTACCTGAATTGTGTCATGTGGCGGCCAGTCTCGAGGTTCCAAACATGTTGCTCAATATGTTGAGCGTGTTTGTCCCGATTGTGACCAAATTCGAACCAAAACCATGCGCGGCGAATTGTTTGAAAGTTATGATTCCAATGTTGGTGGTTCTTGAGCAGTGAAAACAGTTGATACCAGACCTATATGTTTCAAGTTTGTCTTTTCGTGCCCAGCGCCAGTGGCCCCGAAGAGTTCATCAAACCGTTCGAGATTGAATCGTGCACTTCGGTAATGACATCAAACCCTTGGAGTAGAGATGGCGTGGTGAGGATACTTGTGGCTCAAATGATTTGGTTCTGGAGGCATGTGCGTAGCAGTACCGAACGTGCCTTGCGTTTGCCAGCGTCGCGACAATCTCAATTGACTATTCCCATCCAGCGCTCTTCGCTTTTCGGCTCGGCCACCGCTCCGATAGCACAGCTGCTTTGAACACGAAAAGGTTCATTTACAATTGATGATGTTCCTTTTCTTGGATAGAGCGTGCATGCACTGGCCAGGAGCCAGCAGCAATTCAAGAGCCAAACCTCCTGATGGCGTGAAGAATGAGAGCGACGGTGAGTCTTGATGTGCCATTCCGATATCTACCGCTGGCGTCGAGCCATCAGAAGAACCTGTCCTGTCCGAGGAACGAGTAGATTATGGAACCCCGCTTGTTCATGATGGCGAATATGTTTTGATGTTCGATTGCGAAAAAACAGGCTTCACCCATATGAAGACTAGATCACCTCAGAGCCCGCGCAATTTCCATCACACATGTTCGGCGAGTTCTTTGGGGGGGTCCGGCAGCGTCGACCGCCCGAACGGCGCCTGTCAAGTTCAAGGAACCTTTAGCCGTCACGCTCAAATATTCGACGGAAGGCCTGCGATTGGAATGCAACCATTGACTACTGAACGTGCGGGGATCGTCTTCCAATACCACAAGCGCGCGGCAGACATTAGCGTTGGAGCGGATAATTGCATACGATAAGCAGTCGCGTGCTGATGCATCGGACGAGCCAGGCGGTCATTTTCATAGTCAGATGGAGCCGAAACAGAGGATGTTGATGGCGGCATTTCAAGTTATGATGTGCCGATTCCAGAGCCTGCACCAAAAAAGATGAAGTGCAAAGCGTCGAACCCCCGAAATTTCGTTTTGTGGCAAGAGCGTTGCATTGGTTAGACGTTCGCGCAGGCGCCGTTGCAATGGGACTTGGTCCGAAAACGGAGCACAACTTGGCAGCAGGAGCTCCTGTGCCGCGTGAACCAATGCATCGTTGGAAGTCTCTTGATAGTGAAGTGATTGGATGGAGAGAGAGAGAGAGAAGGAGAGAAAGAGGGAGAGAGAGAGAGAGAGAGGTTGAACGTTCACAAAAGTTGGTTCTGTACGGTTCAAAACAAAAACCAAACATACTTCCGCAAGAGAGCCAAACGCACGACATATTTCACGCCTTCCATGGGGATTGCTCCCGCGAGTTACGCGCGAGACGGATTACTCGCACGAAATAAGCAACAAGTGTCAGTGCAAATGGTGTATGCTACGAAGCAGAGCACATCGAATAGCCTTCGGGCCATCCCGCCACTGTGCCTGGGTTGCGAGCCGGAGTCCTCGGGGATGCTTCGCGGGGTCTCTTGAGAGGGCGCTTTCCGGGGGCCTCTGGGGGTCAAGTTTTGGGGGCCTCGTCGTGGGAGCCGCTGGACCCAGACCCCCGACGTCATGATTCTTCCATGACGTGGACCCCACGAGGTCTGGACCCCTTCCCCAGGCGGGACCGGTTTCTCATCCTCGGTCCAGAGGCCTGGCGAGGGCCCCCAGAGGCCCAAACTAGCGAAGAACCTCCCGTCGCTCCTTTTTCGCAGCGCGAGGGGGTCTGGGAAGAGCGTTTTGGGAGCATCTCGGGGGTTTCTTGGGGGCCTGGGGGGCTGCTTGGGGCCTCTCGAGGGTTTCTCGGGGGCCTCTCGCGGCCTCCCCGGGGAGCCTCGCGGGGTCGAGGTTTCGAAGCGTCCGCTCGGGCACCCCCCGTCTGCGCCCCCTCTTGGAGAGCCGTTTGGGGGAGCATTTTTGGGCCTTCTTGGAAGCCTCTGGGGGCCGTTCGGGGGCACTCTTTGAGGTATCTTCGGCCGTCTTCCCCAGACCCCCTCGCGCTGCGAAACAAGACACACGTATATATATATATATTATATATTATATATATAGAAGTTTAAAACATCTATATAAATATATATATATATATATATATATATATGTCTATATATATAAATAAAAAAAAACAAAAAAAAACAAACAAAAAAAAAAAAAAAAAAAAAAAAAAAACTGGAGATGCTTGTGTTCGGCATCTGGGGGCCCTGACCGGGCCTCGGGACCGACAAGAAATGATCCAGGATGGGAACCCAGCCCTGGGCCAATGAACCATCCGGATTTCTTCATGAAGCGTCCAGGCCCCCGACGTCATGATGTTTTGCACGAAACGGCCAGACCTCCGGGGGTCGCCGCCATGAGGAAGTCGTGGCGTCGGGGGTCTGGGTCAAGCGACGCTGCAGGCCTCCCAGGCCGCCTGGGGCGCAGGGAGGCCAGAAAAGGCGAGAGCGCCCCAATCACTGAGAAGCCATTGCGCAGCAAAAACGATGATGCTTGCCTCGCGGGGCTCTCGTGGAAGTGCTCTTGGAGGCCTCTCTGGGCGTCGTCGAGGCTCGTTGGGCCGTCTGGAGGCCATCTCGGGCATCTTGGAGCGATCATTCAGCAATTCTGGGCCCTCCTGGACCGTCTGGGCGGGGCCCCGGGGTGTTCTCACCCCGTGTTGGGTCCCGTTTGGGCGACGGGGCCGTCCTGGAGGTCCGCAACGAGCACACCAGGGACACCCACCAGCGCCCGAAAACGGCCAGGGAATTGCAGGTTCGGGCCCTTCTCTGTAAAAACTGTTTTTTTTGAAGGCAGATCTACCTTCAAAAAAAAAATACTCTGCAAGAACGGTTTTTTTGAAGGCAGATTTGCTTTGAAAAACCGCTCTTGCAGAATAGGCCATTCTATCCTTTGTGAAAACAGGTCTGCTTTCAAAACAACCGTTCTTGCAGATCTGCCTTCGAAATCACCGCTCTTACAGAGTTGAAGGCAGATCTGCCATCAAACAAACCGTTCTTACAGAGAAGGCAGTTTTGCTGAAGGCAGATCTGCCTTCAAGAAAACCGTTCTTGCAGAGTTGAAGGCACATCCCTTCAAAAACCGCTATTTCAGAGCAGATTGCTGTTTTGAGTGCAGATCTGCTTTCAAAAACAACGTTCTTACAGGGTACACTATTGTGAAGGCAGATCCGCCTTCAAAAACAGTTCTTACAGAGGAGGTTATTGCATTAAAGGCAGATGTCCCTTCAAAAAAATCGTTCTCAAAGAGTTGCAAAAAGCAGTTCTTACAATTCATTATCAGCCAGTTTGAGGGCCCTTTTGGGCGCGGGGGCTGTCCTGGAGGTCCACGACGAGCACTCTGGGGACGCCGCGCAGCGCCCGAAAACGCCCAGGAAATTTCGGATTCGGGCCCTTCAGAAACGCAAGCCCTCTACTTCTCAGGGCTGCATAAGCACTGGGGCCCTTCGCGCCGGACGCACGGCGGCAGATATTCGAGAAGGCAGATACAGGTCAGAAGAGTCAGTGAACCACAGCAAAGAGCAGAGGTAAAGCAGGGAAAATACAGTGCATACATACATACATACATACATACACATATATATATATATATATATATATATATGGGTATATATGCACGCATGGGCAGCTTGGCAGGCATCGAGATCTTGTTTGTTTAAGATCAGAAAGCAGACGCATCTTCGCTAGTTCAGTGTGCAACAGGGCGGGAGGGGATCGGGCGGGGAGGGGAAGGGAGGGGAGGTGAGGGGAGGGGAGGGGAGGGGAGGGGAGGGGAGGGAAGGGAAGGGAAGGGGAGGGGAGGAAGAGGAGGAGGGAGGGGAGGGGAGGCGTGCCAAGGCTGGGGAGCAGCGAGCGGGCGCGGCGCCTCCGCCGCCAGGAGCTGGCCGCCGACCCGGCCTGCCCGGAGGGCCTCCGGCGCGTCGTCCCCGCGGCGGCGGCGGCGGCCCGCGGCCGGGGCGGCGAGGCGGAGGCGCCCAGGGGCCGCCTGAGGGCGGCGATGGCCGCGGCGGGCGACAGCCCGGGCCTCGGCAGGGTGGGCCCCAAGGTGTTCGCGGTCCGGTCGGTTCGGCTGCGTCGCCTCCTCGATCTTCCTCTTCCTCCTCGATCCTCCTCCTCCTCCTCGATCCTCCTCCTCCTCCTCCTCCTCCTCCTCCTCTCCTCCCCCCTCCTCCTCCCTCCTCCTCCGTCGGTTTTTGGTTGCGTCTGGTTGCGTTCGGTGTCGCGGTCGGTCGTCGGCGCGTCGCCTCCTCGATCTCCTCTTCCTCCTCGCGCCTTCCTCCTCCTCCTCTCGATCCTCCTCCTATCTTCCTCCTCCTCCTCCTCGTCGTGGTTGCGTTCTCGCGTCGGTCGGTTCGGCTGCGTCGCTTCCTCGATTTCTCTTCCTCCTCCTCCTCTCTCCTCCTCCTCTCCTCCTCCTCCTCGTCGGTTGGTTGCGTTCGGTGTTCGCGGTTCGGTCGGTTCGGCTGCGTCGCCTCCTCGTCTTCCTCGTCCTCCTCATGCCTCCTCCTCCTCCCCCGCCATCCTCCTCTCCTCCTCCTCCTCCTCCTCCTCCTCCTCCTCCTCCTCGTCGGTTGGTTGCGTTCGGTGTTCGCGGTCGGGTCGGGTTCGGCTGCGTCGCTTCCTCGATCCTCTTCTATTCCTTCGCCTCCTCCTCCTCCTCCTCCTCCTCCTCGATCCTCCTCCTCCTCCTCCTCCTCCTCCTCCTCCTCCTCCTCCTCCTCCTCCTCCTCCTCCTCCTCCTCCTCCTCCTCGGTTGGTTGCGTTCGGTCGGTTCGGTGAGCGGTGGTGTCGTTGCCGCGTCGCTGCGCCCTTCTAGAGGCTGCCTGCGGCCTGCCCATCTTTCGGTCGTTGTGTCGATGTCGCTGCAGGTTCGGTCTCGATGTTCGGCGGTGATGGTGCGCAAGGGCACGGCCTTGGGCCCAGTCGGGGCTTCACGTATGCCCAGACATGCTCGGGTCGTGCACAAAAAAGCCACGGCGGGAGGCGCTTCGCTGCTTTCCCGCCTCGAGGGGGGCCTCGCTGGGCCCCGGGGACCGTCACAAGCAGTCGCGGGGAATCTGTCATGACCTCCGGGGGGCGACTTTCTGACAAACTCATGGCTTCGGGACCCGCGTGACGGGGGCCAGCCACAATCCATCTGGCCTGCGCGGGTCTGGGAGCCGCGTGGGGCCCATTCCCCCTTTCCACACCACATTCCGCTTGCGCGGGTCTGGGAGCTGCTACAGTGCAGGCCCATGCCAAGAGACACCCTGCCTGCCTCCAGGGTGCCCTGGGTTCCTTAGGCTGCGAGGGTTTTGCAATGGGAAGCGTAACGTTCCCACAACAAAAATCCATGGACGTCCTGGGGTCTCCGGGTCGGGTTTCTTGCAGCATGTGGCAGGTTCTTTGTGGATTGGCCTCCACTGCAAGCGACCGGCCAGGCTTCGCGACAAGGCCCTGGCCGACCCGAGTTTGCGCGGACCCTCCCAGCTGGGGCGACGTTCGAGGGTTCCGAGGCTCTCGGGCGCTGTCGTCGGTGCCCGGCGGTAAGCAATGGCATGAACGCAAAAATTCTGAGGTCCGCGCGGACTCCTCGGATCGGCGCTGGTAACCCCTGGCGGCGCCTCCGGCGCCGCCCCTGGCGCGCTCGGCGCCGCCCCTGGCGCGCTTCGCGCGCCAGGGGTGGGGCCAGCGCCGATCCGTGAAATCCGCGCGGACCTCCGAGCTTTTACGTCTATTCTCTATTCCCAAGGCCATTGTTGTTCCCCATTGTCTGTACGTCTAGGCCATTGTTGTTCCCCATTGAACCTCCGAGTTTTTACGTTTATGCCATTTTTTGTTCCCCTAGGCTCGGACAGCCGCGGCGAGAGCAGCGGCGAGCGACGGCCCGGACCCCTCTCGACAGGGCGGGGGCAGTGTGTCGGCGGTCGAAGGGCCGAGGCGCGAATGATTATCGAGGCGCCTGCGCGCGTCGTGGACATCATGCGGGGAGCACGTAAAGGGAGGCAAAGCTATATACCCTTCCCTCCCCAGACCCGCTCGAGTCATGCAACAGTCATGACGCAAGGCCTCTCAGTATGTTCCGCCTCTGGGGGCCCTTGCCGGGCCCCGGGGGGCTTCCAAAAGCGTTCGAGGATGAGAAACCAGTCCCGGGGAATGGGTCCAGACCTCTGGGGATTGACGTCATAAAAAAATCATGACGTCGGAGGTATGGGCCGTTTTTTCCCCAATTTTTTGGGCCTCCCGGGAGGCCCTCGTCGCCACGGCTGGATCCGCTTCAAATTTCTGGCCAGAACGCACCCCAGAACGGGTCCGGTGATCGATTCTTGGCCCCGAGACCCTGACATCCTCGAATCCCGATGGGAAGTGTTTGACCATTTTCGGCCTCCGGGGGCCCTCGCTGCAGGAAACCGTCGAAAAAGCGAAGGGGGGAACAACTGGCCCCTGGGAGAGGGTCGGGACTTCTGCGGACCCCGTGGTTCGGATGCAGCTCCTGGGAGGTCACATTCTGATGTTGCCATGTCCGAAATCTGGCTGAATCCGGCTTAATCCCGCTTGATCCCGCTTAATCCGGCTCAATCCCGCTCAATCCGGCTCACTCCCGCTTCATCCGAGGCCCACTCCGGCGTAGCAGCTCCCAAATGGGGCTTCATCCTCCTGATTTTTTTTCCGCCGAAAGACCTTCCAGTATAGTTGCCTCCTAACCGCGAGACGTCGGACGTTTGGGGTCAGGGCTCCAGGCGCCAGGACCGTGCAGACCAGGGCCCTGCCAGCTCCAGCGGGACGGAGCGCGGAGCGGAGAGCGTGTCGGCCTGCGGCTGCACCTCTGACCGGGCGTGCCAGCGTCCTGGTTGAGCACCCCCGCCGCCACGATTAAGAAATCGCCTGCCCCCACAGAGGTCTCGACACGTTCCCCTGGGCCGGCTTTTCGTACTGGGCAGTTTTTGACGGCCCGGGGGCCAAGCAAGGGCCCCGGGATGCCAAAAACGGCCCAACCACAGCCGTCGGTTTTTTTTCGACGCCAGTATGTTTGGGGTGGCGGGGGCTCTGAGTGGGGCGTGGGGGCCAGATATCGCCAACTCATCTCGGCGGGCAGCGCTTGCGCGGACGCTCGTCGGAGGTTGATAGGAGGACGAGGACGAGGAGGAGGAGTAGAAGGATGGGGAGGAGGAACAAGCTAGGTGCGCTCGCGTCATATCTGACGTCCTACCCCTCCCTCCCATCCTTTACCATGGCGTAGATCTCTTTTCTATTCGCACAATCGGATGTCGCAACATGGCATAGCATTACATGGCACAGCATTGTGTTGAAGGTCAACGCGTTGAATGACATAGCATGGCGTGGCGACGCCTCAAAGTGGGTGGGGGGGGCTTCTGCGGCCCAACAAATCAACGAACCGACACCGAATGTGGAATCACTTCCGATGGTCTTTTCGGGAGGTCATTTTCTAGATGTTGGAGCTTTTTCCCCACATCCAAAGTGGGGCTCTTGTTTTCTCTGGACACCCCGCGCAGGAACAGGAACCCACCATCATCATCATCATCATCATCATCATCATCATCATCATCATCATCATCATCATCATCATCACTCATTCCTCACTCACTGACTCATCATCCCTCACACACACACTCACTCACTCACTCACTCACTCACTTACTCATCAGCACTCACATATGATGATGATGAGTGTGCGCGTGAGAGAGTGTGATGATCATCATCATCATCATCATCATCATCACCAGTCAGTCACTCACTCACTCACTCACTCACTCACCCACTCACTCGCCTTGGGCCTCGTCTGTGAGTGAATTATGAGGAAGTCTCAGGCGGGAGCCCCCTCCCTATGGGGCCCTCGGATTATGTTACTAATCCGAGCGGGTCATCAAATTCCTGTAACTGTTGCCACTTTTGGGCCCTCGCGCTGCCAGAACGCCACTCCCAGGCCACATGGGCCTCGTCTGTGATTGAATTGCGAAGAAATCTCAAGCGGGAGCCCCCTCCCTATGGGGCCCGCGGATCATGTTACTAACCCGAGCGGGCCATCCAATTCCTTTAACTGTCGCCACTTTTGGGCTCTCGCGCTGCCAGAACGCTGTTCCCAGGCCACATGGGCCTCGTCTGTGATTGAATTGCGAGGAAGTCTCAAGCGGGAGCCCCCTCCCCATGGGGCCCGCGGATCATGTTACTAATCCGAGCGGGTCATCCAATTCCCTAACTGTCGCCACTTTTGGGCCCTCGCGTTGCCAGAACGCCATTCCCAGGCCACATTTTGAATGCCCGGAGCCAACTGTAGGCCACTTCGTGTTCTTCGTGCTCCCAGAACACCATTCCCGGGCCACATGTTGAATGCCCGGAGCCAACTGTAGGCCATTTCGTGTTCTTCGTGTTCCCAGAACACCACTCCAGGGCCACATTCTGAATGTCCGGAGCCAATCGTAGGCCACTTTGTATTCGTCGTGTTCCCAGAGCGCTATTCCCGGCACGTATCCCCAAGCCAGGGCGAAAAGAAATATACGCAGAAGAGACAGCCAGGACGCCTCACCAACCACGAGGACGACGGTGAGGGCTTTTTCCAGATTCGCCCAGAGGATTCTCATGTGGGGTCCTTCCGTCGGAGTAATTTGGCAAGACCAAAAACCATGCCGTGGCATGGCACTGGAAATAATGACGCCAGCGCTGCAGCGGGAGCACGATTCGGAACGAGCGGAAGCGTGGAAATGAGGCCAGCGCTGCAGCGGGAGCACGATTCGGAACGAGCGGTAGCCCGAAAATGAGGCCAACGTTTCAGCGAGAGCAGCATTCCAAAAACAGCTAAACGCGGAAACGCGGAAATGAGGACGCGTAGCCTGACATAGCATGGCGTGACAGCGCCCCGAAGTGGGGGGTTCTGCTGCCCAACAAAAAACAATGAACCGACACCGAATGTGGAATCACTTCCAATGGCTTTTTCGGGGGGTATGTTTCACATGTTGGAGCCGATTTGGAAGCACCGAAGACCACGCCGTGGCATGGCGCTGGGAATAATGACGCCACC